ATGTTCACACTATCAATTCTGCCTAATGTAAACAAAAGTTCTAAGGAAATATTGATGAAAAAAAGTAAAAACTAAATTATGAAGCCAATACATGATTTCATCAATCATCAAGTTGCTTTTAAAATGATGCTCTCCACAAAGATCCATGTTCCGTTTTGTGAATGTATCAAAAGGACAAAATAAGAGACATGGGAGGAGATATGGTTGGTACGGTTGACATTAGTTCCACACTTCCACAAGCAACATAGTATTGCTAATTATGTATACAAATAAGGAAGAAGAGGATAAGGTAACTTAAATAAAATAAATATCAAAAATCACTTTTCATGAAGCATGGCAAACAAATATCCAAAAGCACTTTCGTTAGCCACCGCGTTTCACATGCATGTGGGCCAATTCCACATAATTTAACAAGTTCCATGAAAGAAGGACTCAACTTGAACAAAGATGGTTGACCATATAATATATGACAAATTTCTCATTAGAAGACTTCCCATAACAACAATTTGCAAGTTTCCTCCATAAGGCACATGCTCCCAGAAAAACAAAAACCATTTTTAAAAGGGTAGAAGAAGTGGAAATTAAACTAGCATGATCATTAATGATGCCACAGAAACCGGATAAGAAATCATCAATCACAAGTGAACGCAACGATAAGGTGGTGTTAATGGTATGAAACTATGAACAAATAGTCATTTATGTTATTTTTCTTTTAACAAAAGAATCATACACCAATACATATCTATTCTGGACTTGCCAAAAGGTTAAAAGAACTTTCAAATACTGGAATCCATAAGCACTAAAGAAATATCACAGCAAGACAAGGGCTGCAACTTCAATTTAAGATAGTAAGAAACTCTTATTTTTTTCAATTTAAGATGAAAAAAATAATCTACCTAGTTTTAGACCTTGTTTAGATAAACTTTTCCCCAAACATTTATAAGAGAAGAAAATAAAAAATTAAATAAATAAATAAATGAAACAAACTTCTCTATATTGTAATTTTTTTTTTCCATATTAACTTTTAAAAAAAATTAACTTATAGATAAAACCATGGTAGTAAGTATCGCACGATTCGCGATTCGTATCGTACGATACGATACGATTTTGAGGCTCCGCGATTCGAATCGCATGTTGACTCGTTTTTTATTACGAATTGTATTCGAATCGTTTGTATCGTGTTCGGAATTGAAAAATCGCGATTCTAAGGAGAAATCGCACGATTCTGGACGTTGCGGGTCACCCCCGAAACCGGGTCGGGTCATGCATGACCCGGTTCTAAAAACCCTAAAAAATGATTTTTTTAAAAAAAAAAAACGAAAGTGAGACAGAAAGTGCCGCTTATACTCCTTGTACATGACCCACTTAGTGGGTTTCACTTTTTGTGGTCCATTTGCGTGGTTCAACTTCTCTGCTTCGTTTGTTTGGGTTGTTGTTCATCGTGGTCCAAGGTAAGGGCTTCCTTCTTGTTGTGTGGTCTATTTGCGTGGTTCAACTTCTCTGCTTCGTTTGTTTGGGTTGCTATTCATCGTGGTCCAAGGTAAGGGCTTCCTTCTTGTTGTGTGGTCCATTCCTTCACTTGTTCTTTTTTTTTTTCTTTGTTATTCCCTCTACAACTTCCCTCTCTTGCTGCTATCTAAGTTTCTATTTATTGGTACTTGGTAGGCCATTAAAAAATGGGTCATTCAAAAAGAGAGCCCGATATCACTTGGAACTATTGTGATAGTATCCCTCCAAATAGACTCAAAGTAAAATGTAAGTTCTGTTCTCATGTTTGTTGGGGTGGTATTTCAAGGATGAAACATCATCTTGCTGGAACAAAGGAAAATGTGATTGCTTGCACAAGTATTCCGGATGATGTGAAGGAAATATTTGTCAAGCTCTTGGAAACTAAAGATAAAAAGAAAGAGGATTGCTTGAATGTAGAGAATGGGACAGTAAAAGGAAAAGAGGGAACATCTAAAATTTTCTGACAAAAGACAATGAATGAAGTTTGTAAAGATAGGGAATTTGTGATTCAAGAAATTTGTAAATGCATTTATGGTAATGCATTACCATTTAATTTGGTAAGGAGTCCTCTTTTTATTCAAATGTTGAAGGTTGTTGGAGAATATGGGAGAGGTTTGAAGCCACCAACTTATCATGAGGTGAGGGTTTCTTTTTTGAAGAAAGTTGTTGACAACATCCAAAAAAGCTTAGAGAAATATAGAAGTGATTGGGAGAAATAGGGATGCACCTTGATGTGTGATGGTTGGACGGATGGGAAAGGAAGATCACTCACTAATTTTCTTGTTAACAGTCCAAGTGGGATTGTTTTTTTGAAATCTATTGATACTAGTGATGTGATAAAGGATGGAAAAAAAATGTTTGAATTGTTAGACAACATTGTTGAAGAAATTGGGGAGGAGCATGTAGTCCAAGTTGTGACGGATGGAGCTTCTAATCTTGTGGCTACTGGACAAATGTTAATAGAGAAGAGAACCAAACTATTTTGGCCCCCATGTGCAGCCCATTGCCTTGATCTAATCCTTGAGGACATTGGAGAGCTACCATTATTCTATAATACTATTGCTAATGCAAAGAAGATTACTACCTAGGCATACATGGGTCCTTAATTTGTATAGACAATATTCCAATGGAGGGGAATTAGCAAGACCAGCTGTGACAAGATTTGCAACTTCTTATCTTACACTAAATTGCATTAAACAACAAAAGCATGCTCTTAGATCAATGTTTACATCGGAGGAATGGGCTACTAGTCCACATGCTAGTAAAAGTGAGGCTAAGCAAGTCATGAACCTAGTGTTGAGTGATGATAGATTTTGGAGATCAATTACATATTGTCTAAAGTGCGTGATTCCACTTGTGAAAGTGTTAAGGCTTGTAGATGGTGATTCAAAGCCAGCCTCACCATACATTTATGAAGCAATGGATAGGGCTAAAGAGAAAATTGCTCAAAACTTTCAAATGCAAGAGTCAAGGTATAAAAAAGTGTGGAAGATTATTGACACTAGGTGGAATCTGCAGCTTCATAGGCCTCTTCATGCAGCTGCCTATTATCTCAATCCTACGTAAGTTATTTAAAAATAATTATCGTTTTAAGAACTACTATTTTCTTTGTGCCTAGTAGCTAAGTTATTTCTTATTTGGTTAGGTATCATTATGACAAGAACTTCAATCCGGATAGTGAAGTGTTAATTGGTTTATATGAAACCTTTCAAAGAATGGTTCCGGATATAAGGACAAGAGTTATAATAGATCAACAACTTGAAAAGTTTAAGGGAGCTAAGGAGATCTTTGGAATGGACATGGCAATAGCTACTAGAGATAAGAAACAACCGGGTATCCCTTTAATTTTTACTCTTTATTAATATCATAAACATAATACATAATAATTAATAACTACATTTGTAAAATAAATACATTTTTTTTTGTAGCTCTTTGGTGGGAGAGTTACGGTGGAAGAGGTAAAGAGTTACAAAAGGTGGCCATGAGAATTTTGAGTCTTACATGTAGTGCCACGGGATGTGAGAGAAATTGGAGTACATTTGACCAAGTGCATACTAAGAGAAGAAATCGATTGGAGCAACAAAGATTAAATGCACTTGTATATGTCAAATATAATCTTCAACTTGAGATGAGGCAAAATAGTAGAGAAGAGAATGGAGATACCTATGATCCCATATGTTTGTCAGATATTGAATCCGATGATGAATGGATCACCGAAAAGGAGAATCCTTGCTTGCCTATTGATGCCTCATGGATGGATGTACATGAGTGCTTTGGTGTTGATGAGGGAGCTCCAAAGAAGAAAAGAAAGAGAGGTAATTATTTATATTTAAAAGTTAGTTTAGAACTTGGAAGTTGGAATTAGAACTAGACCTTATTATTTTCTTATTTCTTTTGATTACATAGGTCCAAGAAACTTGAATGCCAAGATTGGTAAGGGAAAATCAATAATAGAAGATGAGGATGAAATTGAAGATAATGAAGAAGAAGAACTTTTGATATTAGAAGATGAAGATGACTTGAGTGATGTAGATCTTGGGGTTGGGGATGATGAATGATCTTGGATAGGGGCATTTTGTATAGATTTTTTGAGGCTAGATCTTGGGGTTGGGGATGATGAATGATCTTGGATAGGAGCATTTTGTATTTATTTTTTGAGGCTATATGACTGAATTTGTGTGGCAGTAGCACCACTTGTTACAGAGTTTATGCAGCAACAACACTAATATTTTTTTTGGGTGGCTATATTGCTGATTAGAGTAGCAAACAATCCCTGGTATATGCATATATTTAGCAACAACAATGATTTTTTTTGGAGGCTTTGTTGTTGAACTGTGCAGTCATTTCTTTTGGCTTTGAGACTGTTTTTATTTGTATAATTGTATCTTTGTTTGTATTGAAGTTTATATGTTACTAATTACTATATATTTATGTATGACTTCATTTTTATATGTCTTGTATGCATATATATACACTATGTTTTTATTGATCATGAATCTTACGATTCACGATACGATTCGATTCACGATTCAAAAAATAAGCCTTCGATTCGATTCACGATTCAAAAAATCAGCTTTTCGATACATTATTTGTATCTCGATTCAACTACCATGCATAAAACTAATATTATCTTATGAAAAAACTATTTTTTTTTTCCTCCTTATTTTCTTCTGCCATTGTTCACGAAAGAATTTGTCTAAAGAGACTCCTAAATATATTTGGGCATGAAGTCAAATAAAACAAGCCCAAGAAATAAAAGTCCAGTTAATTCACTTTGATTGCTTTTTTCAAAGTTTTGTAAAGGAAATGACAACACTTTTTGTTATTTTCACCATTTCCTACATAAATATTAGTAAACATGAAATAAAAATAAATAAACACATACACATATATATATATATATATTATATATATAAGTTCTCTCAAATCAAATAGATCCTCAACCATTTAATCCCTTAATTAAAAGCTACAAGAATGACATTGTACACAACTTTGAAAACAATCAAAACAACTTCATAAGCATAATTTACCAGGAAGAAGTAATTGTGTTGTGGCATATCAGAATTACATAACAATATAGGCGGTATACAAATCTCTCTGCAAAAACAAGAAATCAGGAATAGACTAATTGAAACCTTGTTGAGGACAGAATAGGGAGACAAACAAAAGGAATTTTAGCATTGTTCAATAAAGTTTTGGCAGTGAAATACATGATATCTGCTAATATATTTTGGCTATTGATAACAAGTTGAAGCTCACTCAGATTCAAAATGGTTAGCAACCTTCAAAGCAAATATCTCTAGAGCTTGACCTCCACATCAACACCAGCAGGAAGATCAAGTTGCATCAGAGAATCTATTGTTTGAGCTGTAGGATATAGGATATCAATGAGTCGCTGATGAGTTCTGATCTCAAAATGGAACCGAGCATCTTTATGAACGTGTGGGGATTTAAGAACACAGTAGATTCGCTTCTTGGTTGGTAATGGCACAGGACCCATAGTTTTTGCATTGGTAGTCCTTGCTGCATCTAATATCTGCTTGCAGGAATCCTCAATCAAGGGAACCCAGTAAGATCTTAGCTTGATCCTAATTTTCTGCTTTGGTGCCATCTAAGAATAGGAACAAGCAATATCATCAGATGAACTAATTTTATGAGAAAACGCAAAATGGTGGGCATGTCATGAATTGTTGTTCTAATTTCTGGTTAGACACAAGAAAATCAAATCAATGCTTACAATTAATACTCAATCCCAGACTATTAAGTTGCTTTTGGACCTTTTCAACTGTACTTACAGATGACTTCACAAAGAAAGCCAAGAAAAATAAGCTAACAGCTGACACTGCAACCACATTAACTCAATGCACAAAGTAACAGGATTTCCATGAAACATTCCCTACTCATCAATGAAGAACTAGAAAATATCTAAGGAAATATCAGAGAACAGTGCTCGGATTACAAGGGAATACGCAGAAAGTATAGAAATTAAGAATTACACAAAAGCAGTCAGAGAGGAAAAGTTTTCTGCCCTGAGCCATCCCAAACCTACCCAAATGATTGCCTACCTCTCTCATTTCCTTCCTCTTCCCCCTATATCCCACACAGCCTCTAACTTTACCACAAATCTTCCCACACTTGTTGCTACATATACAAGTTTGCCTCTCATTTGCCTTTATTCGTAAAGGAGTGCCTAACATATTCTAATGTGGAGCATATGGTATCTGACAAACATGACATGGGAGATCATATTTAGCCATACTCTTCGGGAAGAAAACATTTGCACCAACTACAGAGCTTCCTAGGACCATGGTTTAGGGATGTTAACAGGTCCCATTTGAACTTGATTGCCGTTTTACAAATCCAACACTAACTGCCCTCAAGCATAATGGAGTATTACATGGATATCTATATATTCTTCATCATTACCATAGCTGTCAAATCATGAATTGTATTGAGAATGTTTTAGTTTTTAAAACATGAATTGTCACATATTTTTCCATTCAGAACTAAAAAAATTTAAATGTACACAATTCACCAACACTTTTAACATTAATGAAATGCTAAAAAAATATCGTATGTTACTATGAAAAAGTAAACTAAAACAATACTATAGTACAATCATAAGCCAAAATTCATAATTAAAACTCCTAAGTCTGTATGACTTCCTACTAAATGATAGTTCATCTTAAGGAACTACCCCGCATTGTTTGTGCATATTGCATTGATAATTATATTTGATGTATAATTTATTGTCAAGAACAGAACAATGTTTTTCAGGTAACATCCATCTTACCCTTTTTCTAGCTCCAAGGCCATATGAAGAGATCGCATGAAGCCTACGCTTCCAAAGAGGAATAAAAAAAAGAAGAAGAAAAAAGGCAATGATATAGCCGAATAAAATGCATAGAGTGAAAGAGTGACTGCTGTATGAAGCCTCAGTTTCAAGACAACGAAAACAGAACAATGAAATAGCCAAATAGGGTATTTAGAGCGAGTGACTGTATGAAGCCATTGTTTCAGAAAAATGAAGACAGAACAAAATAATTAAATATGATGTGTTAAGAATAGTTCCTTTGGATTCATTTTATTTAACAATTTAAGCTTCTCTACTTTCAGTTTCTCTGAATTGGTGAAAAGAAAAAGAAAAAGAAAAGCAACAAAGAAAAAGTTACCAATGAATTGCTAAATCATGATTTATATTGATGATACAGAATCAAACCAATTCATGCATGTATCACATGATTCAAAGCCATATATTGCTGAATCATATCAACTATCAAATTATGCCATTCAAATAGTGAACCATGCAATCATGTAATTTCAATAACCTTTCAAATTTACTCCAGATATAGATTTCACACAGAACTATAAAAACAAAATTGTTAAATACATGCAAAACGGGTCATCAATAACTTTGAGAGCCAATGTCACCTCGTCATGGAACTATGCCATACTTTTGAGTTTGATGAGGAGGCATATGTTTCAATTCACTGCCGACTAACTGGTTACTGTTAGCATCAACACAACTTACTTAACCTTTTCACAATTTAACAAACACAATTCACAGATTGAAATGTCCAATCATTCCTTATTATAATTTTTCAATGATTTTTACCAGACATAATGCATTCCAAATTTGAGCCTCACATGTAAAAGATAAAGTGAAACCCCAAACCAAAAGCAAATATCAAACAGAAACTTGAAATAGAGAGTTGATCAACATACTGCATCTGCGTCAGCGCCAATGCTGATTGCCGAAGTGCTTGGAGTCCCCAAGTCACCAACCTAAAACAACAAGACATTGCATTAACAAGGATATACTAAATTACTAATTGCACCATCTAAACCCCCACTTCACCATTGAGTTCAAAACATTAAGGAAAACACAAGCCAAGCTAAACCATTTGAAGCCATTGCCACTATATTTACTAAGCCTCTTAAAAACAATGCATTACAATGCAATTGCCATAATTTTCATTATTCACTTCACCTTGTCACCATAAAACGTACACCATGTACAAAAACAATGACAATTGTTTTACAATTAATAACATATGCTGAACAAGGTTTTAAATTGTAGTCACGGTCACGGTTACATAAAATTCCTTGATATTGCAGGAAACTGAAAACAAATGCGACCGATGTGGCCACAATTCAAGTTGTGTACCGGTCTCAGATACCCCAAAAACCTTGGCATTATGGCCAAAATTCCCATTTTTCAAAACCTTGGTGCTGAATTAGTGAATTCTAGAAACATAATCAGCA